AAACGGTTCGATTTAGAAGCGGTTTGGTTCATAAATGGTTCGGTTTATAACCAGTTCGGTTTACAATCAGTTCGCTTTTTAAATGGTTCGGTGCAAACGGGTAGCAGTTTACTAACAGTTCGGTGTAAGCAGTTTTTTTTCCAGTTTAAACGGTTTTGGGTTGGAACCGGTTTCGGGTTAGATACGGTTCGATTCGGTTTTCTTTCAGTTCGGTTTATATTTGGTTCGGTTTGTTAACGGGTTTGGTTCTTATACGGTTTAACATTATTCGGGTCGATTCGGTTTCGGGTTTACTAAAATACGGTTCGGGTCGGTTTTCTGTTTCAAAAAATCGATTTTTAATTGGTTCGGTTCTCATTTGGGTCGGTCGATTTCGGGCAATTAAACGGTTTCGGTTTGAAATTTGACAGCACTATCGAGTACTAATTATGTTCTCCCTTCATTTTATAAGGGTTTGTACAACTTTTTAATAACTTTAGCTATATCAAATAATTTGCATTAGGACCAACCATATATGTCCATACAACCCTGTTTCTGAGATTTTGGTGGCCCAGGGCAAATATACAAATTGGGCCCTAATTAACAAATAAATAATACAATGTTAATTTAAGAAAAATGGGTGTTTACATTTTTTTTTTATATATACATACTATGAAAATTTCCCTTGTTGCATCTTCTATTCTTTCACCACTCACCAACACCCACTAACCCATACAATAAAGCCACCTTTACCTTAAACCCACCATGACACCATCACCTTATCCAACATCTCTATTTCTCCAACTCCTTCTCACTTCACTCGACCCCACTACCATCACTACTCCCTAACCGCTAAATCACCACCTCACCGACCCCTCCTGCAGCAGCACCTCCACCCACAACCACCAAGTATAAAAAAATACGAAGCACAAAATAGTAGAAACAATTTTTAAAGGGAAATCAACCAAATGACATAATTATATTTTTTTTTTTGAACTTACAAATTAATCATTGCCTCTTTGGTAACGGTTCAAGACAACCAATCAATGTGATATTTCCCCCCCCCCCCCCAATTTTTAGTTTATTGAAATCATTTATACATACAAATTAAAAGTTAATGGAAAGAAGAGAATTTGATGAGTGATGGAGGACATGCTGAGAGGTTATATATAATTAGATTGATGCCAATTGAAAATTTAAGAGTAAAATAACCGGTAATTAAAATTTTCAACTTCATTTGAATGGAATTAATTTGACTAGAAATTGGGAAGAGATACAATTTTTTTGGAAAGAGAATCAAATTATTCATCACTTTGGAAAGTGAATTAATTAGGCGGATAATCACAGAATAAGGAACCATAAAAAGCATTTGATATTCTTTAGTATTAACTTTGCTTGTCTATTTTTTTAATAATTGGGGCCTTATCTCATAACTGAACTTGGGCTTTTCAAGTTGGGGCCCAGGGCGGTTGCCCCAGTAGCCCTGCCTTTGCTACGGCCCTGTGTCCATAATGGATTTGGTTAATTCTCATTAGAGATCGATAAAGTCTATAACGTTTTAACTGCCCCCGTGAATTTTTTTAGTTGCAATAAAGTAATTTTTTATGTCTCACAAAATAATATTCCTTTGTTGTAACTAAAATAAAGTTAACAGAAGTAGTACTATTTTTGATGAATAATACATAATAATAATATGTGAAATCTTGTTAGTTTGAGTACAACTTTCTTAAATAAAAAAAGTAATATCAATGCTTATATTAACATACTAGATGTAAGCCCGTGCGATGCATGGTTCTAGTATATCATTCTATTTAATTAAAAATTTTGTATATTTATGAAGATCATTCATTAGATATATGGATAAAATTCCTAATATCATAAGATAATTTTAATTTTAACACTAAAGTTATCTTTTGTTGTTTTATTTATTTTACGTGACGCTTGAATTTAAAATTCCAAACCTTATTCACTAATTTGCTTATGTGACAATATAAATTTTTAATTCAAAAAAAGAAATGACAAATCTCATTTTTTATTGATCAAAATAAGTCTTTTGCCTATGCATTTATTTAATATACTCGTTCTGTTTAAAATGTTAGTCTCATTTATAATCGGTTAACTATTAAAAATTATGGGAAATCAGTCATATAAGATTTAGTTTTATTCGTCTTGATGAGTACATTTTTAAAATCGAACTTTTATAAAATTTGTTAGGGAGGGATTAAAGATACGTAGAATTTTCCATCAAAAATTTGCATCCATATGTGTAAAAAGATATTAAAAATTAAACTTTTACAATATTTTCTAGAGAGAGATTATAGATATTTGCGATTAAAAATTTGCATGTAAAAAAAGATAATTATTACTTAGTTTTTTATTTTTATTTTTATTTTTTTTATTTTTAGAAAAGATAATTATTGGTTTTTAAAAGTAATTTAAATTTTAATTATTCAATACCTATGCGTCACTTTTGCTTAGGTGGCAAGTACATTTTTTAATTCTAAAATAAATTATTAATCTAATTTTTCATTGGTCGAGATAATACCTTTTCTTATGTGGTGCGCCAAATGCTCCCGAAAAATGTATACTTTATTTATATATACTAGTTTTGTGCCCGTGCGATGCCCGGGTTGTTTATTGAATTTTGAGATATATTTTTAATCTATATGTCAAATTTTAAAGCATATCATTGATACAAATAAAATTAGTTAGGATTGATGTATTTTTGTGACAATTTAAACTTGTAGACATGTAATGACTATTAATAATAATATTAGTGAAAAATATTTCTTGACCCGTGACCTGAAATAATGACTCTGTTTGAAATGACTCGTGATCTACACACAGTATTAAAATTATATTAGATTGTGAAGTATATTATCTTAATTGATTGGAATGTATTATAAACAATGGATGTAGTACATTTTGAACTAATTCTTTCGCTCCAAAAAAATATTATGATACAAAAAATAAATTTATATGATAATTTATGAGAGTTATAATCTAATTATTTTTGAATAAAATTATAATTCAATTTCTACATATGAAATATTGGTACTTTATCAAAAATAAAACTCTAAATTAATAATTTTATCCTAAAATTCTATCCAAATTTGATTGAAAATAAAATTCTAAACTAACTTTTTTATCCTACAAATTGAATTCTATATAACTCTATCCTACGTGGCACGATACTTGGCGAAAAGTTGGAACGCCAAATGTCGCTGCCTCATTGTCTGGCTAAAAGTTTAGCTTTATATATTAGTTATAAGATATATTAGTTATAAGATATTAGATTATACATTCTAGACAACATACTTCGTATTAAATTCAAAGTATAATGTACTTTACATTTCTTTATCAAACTTTACAGGTCAAAAAATATAATTGAATCATGTCGAAATAGTATATACCTTACAGATGGGACATTGTTACCTCTCATTTGTGACTTATAGTTTTATGTTCTAACTACTTGTGACCTTAAAGGTCTCGAATGAATCATTGCATTCAGCCAATTCTTGGGCAAAAGTGCCAATATTGTTCATTTTATATTTGTGGGGAAAGCTTACAATCTATTTGTAGAAATTATGTGATTTATTATGAAAACTAGTGACATTATATCCGATACCACTTTGTTTTTTGGTAGTAATGGAAACTGAATCCATGTTTAGCTTAAATTTTCCAAATAAAGAGTTTTTTTTTACGAAATTCCTTGTTTATCATATTGAGAAACGAAATTTATTTTTATAGGGGCATTTTCGTAAATAAATCAATAACTTTTTCATTATCGTGGGCTCCACAATTGAATAAAGTTGTCAATTTATTTACGAAAATACCATGTGAGAAACATTTTGTTTCTCACTATGTGAAAATGGGGCATCCTTGTTTTTCTTTTTGGAGCTACTGTGGTTTTCTTGTAACTTCTTACCTTAAAATTTAATTCATCCGAGTGAGTCTTGGATGGGAGATTTGAGTTTGTATAGGGTAAGATCTCGTTGGTTACCTGGTTAGTCTCTAGCTAGCTGAACTTTTCAAATTTAATATACCAGTAATTATTATGAACAAAATATTTTGTACATTTTCAAATAGACTGTTTAATACGAGTAAATCCAAGTTGATACCTAATACTACCTCCGTTAAATATTATCTGCAACTTTGGAGCAGATTATGGTTCACGATGCAAAATTTGAGGGGTGAAAATTAGTGGAAGTTTAGATGGTTTAATTAAAGTAGAGGAGAGAGAAAGGCTGACCCCCCACTTGCATTTGAGTGGGGAAATCTGTCAGTTTTTTTGAGGGAAATAGATTTCCCTCTTAAAATTTCCCTAAAATTTCAAACAATTTGAAATTTTAGGAGATTCAAAACTCCCACCAAATTTAAAAAAAAAAAAACAGATTTCTGCATTACAGAATGAGCATTTAAGAGGCTTATAAAAGGAGCCTCATTCATTACACAAGCATTCAATGTTTCTCCCAAAAGACAAGCCATGAAATTTTTAAGATTACACCATTAGTTTTCCAAAAGTTAGCACTAATCGCAGTCATTAAGTCCCTAAATATCCAAAAAATTATCCTAACTAAAGTCAGTGATGCACATGATCTTCACAAATCAGACGCTTCATTGGCTTGGCACCTCCATCATCCTTTCAGCCTAACAGGAACACCCCTTCTTCACAAAAAAAAAAACCAGCAGGGACTCCTGTTTCATCAACCTTGAGCTGGAAAGATACATGTGTAGTAAATGTCATGGAAGAGTTAGAAGAAGGGGTGTTTTTGGAGGTTGATCAACTGTTAACTGAAGAAGAACTAGAAGAGCTTTACTATGACTTTGAAGAACACATGCAAGATTGTGGCTTGTATGATGATTCTGATGATGAAGTAATGGATGAACAGGGGTAGCAAGACAATGATCAACAAGCATAGCAACAAACAGAAGATCAAGGCAACATTCAAGCAGCAACAAGCAGAAAACAACTTGATTTGCACAAGAAGAGGGAAATTGTAGATGCAATTTTACTCAAAATGCATAATGGGAATTTACCAAGAGGGTACATGCAAGAATTATCACACAAATTCAATGTACACAAATCAACAATCACAAGGGTTTTCAAGGACATTCAAAAACAGTTAGAACAAGGTGATGTGATTGATGTCAAGTCCAAGAAGTATGGCAAAACAGGGCCTAAACCAAGGGAATTTACTAATGAATTCCTACAGTCAGTGCCTCTACACCTTAGGCAGACAGAGAGGAGTTATGCAGCAGCATTGAAGATATCTCATGTTACTTTTCACAACTTTAAAAAAAAAAAAAGAAGGCTCAGAACACATACAAGCAGCAACAAGCCAGCTCTCACAAGTGACCACAAAGTTGCAAGACTGAAATGGATTCTGTCTTACATTAATCCTATCATTGGGAATGAAGACCCTATATTTGATGATATGGACCATGTCATCCACATAGATGAGAAATGGTTCTATCTTAATCCAGATAAAAGGAGATTCTATCTCCTTTCAAGTGTGGAAGACCCACACAGAGTTCAACAGTCAAGAAGATTCAAACTGAAGGCAATGTTTATGGCAGTAGTGGGAAAGCCATTGTATGGGAGAAATGGGGAGCTACTACATGATGGAAAATATGGCATGTTTCCTTTCACAGTCAAAGAGCAAGCAAAAAAATCAAGCAAAAACAGGCCTGCAGGAACATGGGAGACCAAGGCAATACAAAATGTGAACAGGGAGGTCATTAGGGAAATGTTGCTCACAAAAGTAATACCATCAGTCATCTCAAAATGGCCACAAAGTCTAAGCAAAAATGTCACAATACAATGGGACAATGCAAGACCACACCAGATACCCAGAGATCAAGAATTCATTGAAGCTACTACAGCAAATGGGTTCAACATTCAACTGGTGTTTCAGCCACCCCAGTCACCAGACTTGAATGTGTTAGACTTAGGATTGTTCAGGTCTATTCAGTCACTGCAGTACCAATCATTTCCTAGCAACTTGGATGAGCTAGTGGACAAGGTCATTGAGTCTTATGACACATTCAAACCAGAGGTGAACAAGTACATTTGGATCACTTTGCAAAAATGCATGATCATGATACTGCAAGCAGAGGGGGGTAACAAGTACAAAATTCCTCATATGAACAAAAAAAAGCTTGAGAATTTGGGCATTTTGCCAGACAAGGTGGAGGTGCAAAGGGATATAGTGCTGGAAACTATAGAGTACCTAAACACATTGTTTAGGCCAGCCACTCAAGGGACTCAAGATGCAGCAGAAGATATGGAAGTGGATGCAGATTAGGGGACTCAAGCCACAAACCAGGTTTTGCACACTGACAACATTGACTGCCACACATAACCATTTAACCTTTTTTTTTCCATGGGTAATGAATAGGTGGTTAGGTGTATTTTGGTGATTTAGATTAAACTAACATGTTAGGCAGTCAAATGTGAAGTCTTTTGTTTATGTGCATCAACTTTTGTAATCACTATATGAATGAAATGATAAAGACAAGTTTTTGAAGTGTTATGGCAATACATGTCCATCAGAATGGTTATCAATGGTGTTGAATACTACACTTCACAACATTGTTACCTCAACAACAATCTCAAACAAGAGATTGTTGGAGCAACTCAAATGTGTTAAGTGAAATTCAATGGAGTCCATTCATCATTTGAACCATAAAAGTCACTAAGGGTGGAATTTCATACAGACAAGGGGGATTCCACACATTCATGGGGCAAATATCAGAAGGGGGGACTCATTGAAGCACTGCTATAACAAGAACACCAACCCATAGACATTGTTCTCTACAAAACATGATCATTGAGAACATTGTATATACCACACAACAAAACAAACAAACCAAACTGAACTCAGCATTCATCATTCATCAATCACAATCCCTTGTTCCATCTTTCTTAGTACACAAACAGAGAGATCAAGGCAACACTATTTCAATCAGACAACCAGCATAAGGCAACATTATCACAGCCAAAAATACAGAGTACACCTTATCATTCATGAGTATTACTCAAAATATAACCATCATTATTACTAAAACATAATATGAACAACATTCCAGCCACACATGGTCTATAATTAAGCCACAGGCATGCTCATCCAACAGATCCACCAAAAAAAAAACAATCCACCAACATATGGGCAACAGGACTCATATAATTCACCCACCAACAACATAATCCAGTACACAAACAGAGAGATCAAGGCAACACTCTTTCAATCAGACAACCAGCATAAGGCAACATTATCACAGCCAAAAATACAGAGTACACCATATCATTCATGAATATTACTCAAAATATCACCATCAGTATTACTAAAACATAATATGAACAACATTCCAGCCACACATGGTCTATAATTAAGCCACACATGGTCTATAATTAAGCCACCAGCATATGGGCAACAAGACTCATATAATTCACCCACCAACAACATAATCCAGTAAAAAACAAACAAGGTAGCCCAGAACACATGCAAAAAATCAAAGCAAACCAACCAAGATATATGAGGGACTCAAGAATATAAATGAAAGAGATTAGGGTTAGGAACCGTTACGAAAGCAGTCACTTAGAGGGTTGAACCGAACGGTTCATCCGCCTCACATAGCAGTTGACCACAGGGACTGAAGAAGCCTCCTCCATATCCTCATCCTCATCAGAAGAAAGGATGATGTACTCATGGTCTGGAAGCCCACGCATCCTCCGAAGAGCAACACGCGCCGCCTTCCTAGTAGATCTGACCTTGGGGGTGACCTAGGCCTCTTAGTTCTGGCCTTTTTCGGAGCCACAGTAACCCCCAAAGAAGATTCAACCATGAGATCTGCAGGAAGAGGACAAACAGAACTCAGATCTGCAGGAGCAGGAGCAGCAGACCCAGATTCAACCACCATAGGAAGAGGATCTTCCTCCCTCTTCAACTTCCCCTCCTCCCTCTTCAACCGTTCCTCCTCATCAATACTTTTTAGGACTTGACCCAAAGCTCTGTATGTGTACAGAGAACAGTAGCCAGCAGTTTCAGCGGATTCGTAGAAATCACGAGGAAAAGGGTTGCTAGTTTCAAAGCAATGGAGGAAGTGGTTGATCAGATTCTCCTCACCCTTATCATTTGTTGCTATGTACGCATCTTTCAAAGGATCAAGGTTAGGCATTTTCGTAGGGGACTCTTTTTGCTCAGAAAATGGTGTGGTGAAGAGTAGATCTGGAGAGAAGGAGAGGAAGAATCGAGGTAAAAGAGGAGAGAGAAGGTGGGAAACGATGAACTAGGGTTCATCTTCTGAAGAAGATTCATGAACATAAAGGGAAACCCAACCATCAGAAATTAATTTTTGGTGGTTGGGGAAGTCAGTAAATGAGGAGACAAGGAGGGAGATGGGAAAATAAAGGGAGGGAATCATTAGGTTAGAGTAGATCTGATTAGTTTTAGGTTTGTGAAATAAGATTAGTTTAGGAGATAATAAGGGTAGTAATTAAAAAAAACATAAGTAAAGGTAAAATGGTAATTTCATGCTTTTTTTTTTTACTAAAATTGAAACAAAAATGGAAAGTTGCAGATAACCCTGATCATCCTGAAATGACAAAAGTTGCAGATAACATTTAACGGAGGTAGTATCAATGACCTTTGTTATATCAGGACAATGCTGTCATTTCACATGGTTTAGTAAGGGTGCCGAGGTCATTTCGGCTGATTTAGTGAGGGGTAGTGGAGTAAATTCAAGTACAGTACTACTAACAGTTAAAAGAAATCCACATTTATTGGTTTCCTCGTTCGTTAACTCCGTCAAAGCTACCACCTCCATTATCACTTCTTCATCACTAAAAATTGAAACCTATAATGGGGAATGTTCACCTGCAATGGTCAATTCGAAGAAGATGTTAAATCCCTAACCTTTAGGGTTAACCACTTAACTATGCCCTTTGTTTTACCTTTTATTCTTCTGGTTTTCGTTGATTACGGCGGCGAAGCTGCCAAAAATATGGTGGAGGTGGACATGGTTGGGCATCTTCAATGGAGGACGGAAGGTTGTGCGTCGTCAATGGAGGGTGAGAGCTTAAGCAGACAAAAGCTGGGTCAGATTTTGGATGATATAAACGTTGGGTTCTTTATATCTGATATTAACTGGGTCCGGCTCGTTTAATACAAAGTACTTTTTGAGTTCAGATTGGAAAGCATCAGCACTATTAGGAATTATGAATCATTTTTGTTTTGTAAAGGCTTATAAAAATTGTCATATCTCCTAAAATAGCAACAATTATGATTGGGAAAGGAATGAAAACATCGAAAGGATTCCCCCTCCCGCGAATCATTAGGGACTGTGATAATGTGATTACTGATTCCAAATGGAATAATAATTTCAGACTTTTGTTAAAGATTGTCTCAATTCTCTCAAAGTTATTATGTATCTTAGCTTATGTACGAATTCAGGACTTTCTATTATGTCTTTCTGATTTTGTACAAAACAATGCAATTGCATGTAGGATTAACTATTACCAGGAAGGTAAGCAAGTTTATCCCCACCTTGATGCTATAGCAGCTTACAAAAAAGCTCTTCTGACGAGGGCTACATGGATCGATAGACATATAAATCCTCACAGAACCATACCTGCCATAGGTGATGGAGTGGGGGAGAATTTTAAATTGTACCCGCCCCACCTGTGCATCCCCACCACATACCCACATCTATATATCTTTAAAAGCAAAATTATATGCTTTTAAACTATTTTATAAAAAAGTTAAGGAATTTTTTTTTAATAGTAATCCGTATTAATTATGTAGGATTGTGTATTTGAGAGGCGAAGATTAGATGGGTCTTGGGTGGGGATTAAGCGAGTCTTTGGTGGGGATTAGGTGAGGGTGGATATCCAAGAAGGGGGTGGGGTGGGGATGAGGATGAATTTTGAACTTTTTGCGAGGATAGGGATGGGAATGGAGATGAAAATGATATGTGGGGATGGGGATTGGAATGTCAACATCTGCCCCACCCCGCCCCGCCCCACCCCGCTCCATTGACATTTCTAATTGAGACTATGCATACATACACAACTCTGCAAAGTGTGTCATGGCTGTGTCACGTAATCAGATTTATTTGTTACAACTTGCATAAGAGTTTTTTTTATACAAAAGTTGGTTAGAATATATATAAGGTTAAGATCTAATGAGAAGTTTCTTTAAAATGAGAAGGATGAAAAAAAAGTAATCTGCAAAAGTTTTTCACTAAATATGTATGCATATTTCTAACATCTACTAAATGTGCAAAATTGATTTTTGGACTAATAAAAAATTTGAATTTGTTGGGAAAAAAAATGAAATTGTGCACATCATGTTCAAAATATATAAAATTAGATTCAATTTTTTTTTTTGGCATATTAGTTAAAAAAATATACACATTTAGGCCCCGTTCTATTCACCTTATTTTTGCTGAACTGAAATTATTTTTATTGAAACAAAATTATATTGGCTGAACTTAAATTACTTTTACTGAACTTAAATTAATTTTACTGAACTGAAACTATTTTTACTGAACTGAAATTATTTTTACTGATTTTTAGTTATAATTCTTCTTTCAGATTACTGAATTTTACTGAACTGGAAGCATTATTACTAAACTCAAAGTATTTTTACTGAACTGAACTTAATTTTACTCAACTGCACTTATTTTTACTGAACTTAAAGTATTCTTACTAAACTGAAATTAATTTTACTGAACTGCACTTATTTTTACAGAACTGAAATTATTATTATTTAATATTATTTTTTTAAGGTGAAGAGAATAAGACCTTAATATAAATATTATGCATATAATGTCCTTCTCATCTTTCTCATTTTAAGAAACATTTCTAGTTTTATTTAGGTTTGCCTTCTCGCTCTTTGAATACATTAAGAGAATTTCAATTCACATACTCACCTTTGACCATCTATTTTGATTTATAAATAAGAAAAAACAAACTTACAGAGTTAACTTCTTATAATGGAAGTACATAGCTAGCTTTTTTTTATAATAATAAAAAATTAAAAAAATAATAAAAATAATAAAAATAAAAAAAAAACCTGAAGATGATGCCAGGAGAAAGAGGAGTACTCCTAAAACAAAGGGCTTCCTCCATGCCATTTTCATGCTCGTCAACACCGTACGTTCTGATTATGTAATTTGGTTTTTGTTGGTTTTACATACACATCTTCATTATTTATACACAACTGAAAATTAATCTCCCCAATAATCTTTTAATTAACAAAGACTTAAAAAGATTAAGAAAAATTTATAGAAGGTAGCTCAGAAT